AAAGTCCGTCAGAGATTTTAGTGACAATTGGGCGGTTAGCCAAAACTGCACTACATGACAAGATCTTTATCAAGGCTGTGAATGAGCACGTCATAAGCCTAATAAATTATTATATTGGGGTGCTCAAGCTGGAGCCAGAAGACTTCAAGAAAGACCACGATATCAGGCAGTTACTAATCAAATACAGAATTCACAAACAACTTGCATGCTTGAAAATACTGTACCTGCCAAGGGACGAGTTAGGACGTGGACTTCATGATGTTAGGCAAAAGAGTGAGCTTATGATTCCCCAACTTCATAGTCGAGATAGAAAAAAAAACGTCAATATGACCTACTTACTGATAAACTTAGGTCAGAGATGAAGTATAGGACCAAAAGAATTCTTATGTGGTGATTTGAGATGGGATTGTAACGAACTTTCACAAACATCGCGCGTAGGAGATCAGTATATCTGATCACGTCGAGGCATACGTCAATCGATAGTTCTGAAGAAAACGCTCCTTCGATAATCGTTGTGGATTTCACGAGGAGAATACGAAAATGATCAGAACAACAAATCTGAGCGCAGGACAAGTACAATCAGAATGCGCGAATACAATCCAGCGCCAGAACCAACAAAGCGCAAAATAAGACTAACTTCCATATTTTTTTTGTATATATATTTAAAGAACTCTTCTGATTGAGTGGAAAAGCCTGAAATTATATTGGATATGAACTATCATTTGTACAGATACTTATTTCCCTTTTTGGATGCAAATGTTACTAGATGAAAATTTTGTAGTGGTCGGCTTAGCTCCATTCGTTTCTTTACTTTTATGGAAAGAGAGCTTTAAAAAACTTCCACTCTTCTCAAAATAAACTGAAAAATCATTCCTGCAAATTTTCTGTTCATAGTTTATTTCCAGTTACAGATCACATGGAACAAATGGATTCGAAGCATCAAAAGGAATATAAGCCTGAGAACAATATGCATTAGTATTCTATCATTTCAAATAGTATGTTTCTCAAGGCAAGATACAAACAGTGATAAAATATAATGGACGAGAGAATTTCATCAGTTTGAGAAATGAGACCATTTACAAATATGAGTCAGCAGTGCGAAAATGTGGCAATCTATCTCTATTATGATTGCTTACTCATTCATAATAATTTACTGCTCAGTTATGGGTTCTCTCTGGCTTGAATTGCGTAATTTAGTGAACATAGAAATTGTGAATTCAATTTTGTTAAAAATTCAGTACTTCACCTTTGTAGAACTCTAAAATTTGATTTGCAAGGCTTTTTTCTCAATGATTTCTACATCTTTACCGCAGAAATCTGATTTACTAATTTAAATGTCGGGATATTTTTGTCAAATAATTCATACCAAATACCCATTTTTTAAGAAATCCAGCAAGAAAAAACCATCATAATTCAGCAGCTCAACAAAATAACTGATTGCCTACTGAAATTTAGCTTAAAATAAGAACTATTGGTACATTTTTTACTGTTTCACGTTTAGATTTGATTCCTTCACTCTTTTTCCTTCCAAATAAATTAGCAACTATTTTCCTCTTACTTTGGCCGGTTTTGACAAATGAGTGAAATCAGTCAGATTATTATAGTTGAGAGGGTCATGAGAGATGAGAACACTAAAATTTAACTTTTTGTTGTTCCGTATAAATACTACTTACTTAGACTTTAAATTTTATTCAGTTGATACGGAAAGGTAATTTTATGATTAAGCAGTCCATTCTAACAACCATTATTGCGCATTTTCTTATGATTCATATCAACTTTTCTATTTCATTACAAACTAACTATTAATTGGTCACATTTAACACTATATGTCTTTAATACTTAGTTATCCCTCACAAATTTAATTTTAATGGTAAAAACAAGTCGTAAGGTGCTAAAGACTGATGAATACATATAGATGGACACAGTCTAGTTAGTTACTTTTATTAAAAAAGTAATACTGAAATAAATTGAATCCAACAGTATTTATCAATTCAACTTTTATGCACAAAAAACTTTCCTTCAAATATATTGCATTTACTGTTTTGTTGTTTAAAAGATAAAGTTCTTGGAGAAACGAATGAAAATTAATAAATAATTTCCTGCTCTTTGCTGACCAACCTGCTTTAGTCAGTTATAAAAGAAATCAGAACCAACAATCGTGACAAAAATTTCAAAACATCATTTGCATATATGCTCTTCGATAATTTTTTCGCACGGTTGGCATATTACTCTGCAGCAGTAATGGAATTTGCAATTGCATCGATCCATTACCTTATGTATCCTTGAATCAAATCCTCGATAACAGCATAACTAAAAAATAAATACTTTCATTACTATAATTGAAATTTATAGGTGTAAAACATATCAAAAATCACAATGAATGTTTTTTTTTTGGTTCATTCTTAACTATTCATTAATTGTTAAGGAGTTTCAACTTTTATCATCATTATTTTTAGACTACTGATGAAACTGGTAAATTACCAATATCTGAAAAAACGAAGTCCGCCTTTTTTGCTCAGATATTTATGAATTAAGCATTACTGAACTTAAAGTAATTAAATGCAATTGCTTCCATGTATTTGAGAGTGAATTTCTGGTTCTACTGAACCAATTAATACTATAACACTTATTTCTGCAATGTTAGCACTTAAAAAAACGCAAGAGTACTATATGAAAAAAATATTCTTTTGCCAATAAAAATAATTTAAAAAAGTGGCGTTTATAAATGTAATAATAGAAATAGCAGTGGTGAATATTTAATTGTAACTAAAGTAATTTAAGCTTATTCGCTCATATTATAAACAATTCTATCCAATATTTAACAAATAACAGAAACTGGGAATATGCAATATAAAATTTTAGCACTTTTTAATGACAAATTAATTACTGAAGTATTGATATGTATTTAAAAAATGACCAAATAAACAAATTAAATCACCAATTCACAGCCATCTATACCGTGTGAGGAAACATTGCAATGTCGCCCATGTGTTCCAAGAATACCCTGTTCTGGATCAGGTTCACAATAATCCGGAGACTGTTCCAGATAAACCTGGGTAATCAACTTTAGTATTAAAAATTGCGATGCTATAACATATGCTTTAAACAGAATAATATGTTCTCTCGATACGAAAAACAAATAAAATTCCTGTAAAGAAAATCCATCAGCAAAAACGTTGTCACTACTAACGATAAACTTGGAGGCGACTCTTCATAAGTTTAAGAGTGAAATGCTAAATTTTCGAAAGGTAGCCTTAATATATTTAATGGAAATGATGAATGTAAAAAAACATACGAGATCAGCTTTGGTATGCCTTTTGAAATTAGCATTTTTACGAACAATGATTGGTTTACTGTCACCTTCAATGACAGCCACTTCTGTAGCGCCATCAAATTTATCTTTGATTATTTTTCCGATTTCCCTAAATTCACTATTAAGCTGTAAAGTAGATCAAATTTATGATCAGTCAAAAGCCATCTATATTCAACCTTAGTTTATATTTACAAGCATGAGAAGCTGACCCATGCATACAAATACCATTCTTAGTTATCAATAATAATGATGACAAAAATGATAACCTGAAAGTGGGCATCGACTTCCAGCACGTTTTCATGTCACAAGAACCGCTTAATCCATGGCACTTGCATTGTTTTCGAGTGCTCAGTTCAAGGACCTAAAAGGAAAAGCAGATTTCGAAAACAAATAGAACTGCCCAAATTGCCTTATCTTATTAAAAAAAAAGGCGAGATAAATCATTCTCGCACATTCTTAAAAGTTCTGTCTAATAATACAATGATTTTTAGAAATGAATGTTATTTTCTGTCATTAATCCTCTTTTTAATATTTCAGTAAACAATTTAAAAACTGCTCTCGAGCTGATTGATGAGTAACACACTTGTCTTCCGGCATTGTTATTATGCAAATTCATCACTTTTCTAGCAATTGTTTGATTTTTGACCCGTTCAGCAGCATCTGCAAAAGCTCTTGACACTGCCACACCATAACGTACGTTATCCGAACAACCATTCCAATTAAACTGGTCCGTTTGTTTTAAAGCACTCAAATCACAACCACATTTGTCAATCAATCCTTTTGAACAATCTCTGCAATTTATTAGTTTTTAACCATGTACAAATAAATTGGTATTTATCAATTAATAACTAGTCAATCGATAAATAATCGATTGATATTTGATCAGGTGATTAACTTTGTGATTCGATAAGCAATCGCAGCTGAAGAAATGGCATGTACAAAAGCTGCTTCACGAGTTCCACGTCTTAACACCATGTCACCAAAAACTGCCTTCGTACTTGGATGAATTAATGAACAATTCCATCTATAAAAACATCTTAAAAACACTGAACACTTTTTGAAACGTGAATTGAAACAACTGGACCATATGTGTTTTCTTACTCTATACATGCAAGAACTCTTAATTTTAACTCTTTTATTAATAACTTTCTTTTGTAGTTGTATCAGTCAACATGAAACTTATTTAAATAATTTGATAGTAACTGCGATGTTAGGTGATATATACAGTGATTGGAAAGCTCTATATTCTGCTACAACTCTATTTTGTGGAATCTGATTTACATTGTCGTTTCTTAATCTTTATCTAGAAGGCCAAATAAGGATTAAAAGTATTAGTCAACCTAAAGTCTTTAAAGCCTATTAAAGAACGTCATTATCGGTATATAATGTAAAAACGGTGAAAGTCAATATTTCTTTTCCCACTTTATTCCTTAACAAGCAGTTTTTCCTAACTTGAACTTTTGATACCGTTTGCTCACTTACTGAAAAACTTTTGTTACAGCTAAATTTTCGAGTGATGATAATAATAATAATAATAATTATTATTATTATTATTATTACTATTATTATTATCATTATGATTTTCCATCAAATTAAATAATAATAATAACAGTAAATTATAATTGCTATTCTCTCATTTTGTAAAATGTATGAATATATTTGGGAAAATGCATATGGGCTGATTTTCTAATAGTAATAGCAATGTTAGTATCACAATTTTCTATTCTCATTATTACTAATATATTGTTGCAATATATATTATTATATATTGAAAAAACTCTTTTTTCAAAGTTAATACACATTATTATATTATTAAGAACTATTTTTGTGCGAAAAAACCTTCGCTGATGGAACTGATATTGACATTCGGAATAAGCAATTTGTGCTCCTCCGCGTATGCTATCCATTTGGTCGATATTACGTCGACAAAACCTTAACTGCAATATTCACTGTCAGAGATATTTACGACCTTCTTATCAGTAGATTCATCAACTCGTAAAATGATGAATATATGGGGAAAAATACATATGGCTGATTTCTACTTTAACTTTTCTAAAAACACAATAGTTCTAATGGCGATCAATCGTTGTTTTTATTCCAGAAAAACTTGCTAACATGCATATTTTCAAAGCTATATGTAAGACGACAAAAAACTTGCAGAAATTTTACTGAAATATCCGAAAATATTGATTTGTATTAATGATCATGAAACATCCAAATTTCGTGAAAACTAAAAAATAAAAAGCTTTATGTATATTAAGACAAAAATTTAAAAAAAACTGCATAACAAGTTTTAATTTATATACTGAATTTTTTAGTTGGATGTGCTAAAAATGTTTATAACTATGACCTGCTTCCGCGTCAGTCCATGCAGACGTCGACAAGCTGAATGTGGATGTAATCGATCGATTTTCGTTCCAGACATGCTTAAGGCTCTAAAGCAATAAGCATGTTCAAAGTAAATTAAGAATAATTAAAAAAAAACTTCATACTCAATTCAAAAGTGGAATATTAAAATGATAGTTGGATCTTTTGATTAATCTAAATTTAATTTTGATCAAATCATTACCGAAATGATTAACGTAAAGAATTTTGAGACTAAATAAACTTGTTGAATTTACTAATCTGACATTTCAAAGCCTTGAAGCCTCAATCAGCTTTATTTTTTGTAGGTACTCTTTTGTATCAGTTACAATTTAACCATTAATAATTTTCACTTTTTTAAAAATTAAAAAGAATCAAACTGAGGTATTGTAGTGATCCTGATTATTTCAAAAACCAGGTATCGCTAACAGTATACTGAAATTAGATTTATGAACACATGTTTAATAGCACACTGGAAAAGTCTACTAATTCAGTCATTTAAGTGCTCAACTGAATTTTTGAGCAAGTATTGAAAGAACTGCAGCTTTGAAAAGAGTGGAGGTACGGTAGTTGCTAATTGATGATTGGTTCATGAAAAAATGAAGAGGTTGGGCCTTTCTTGCTCCGTCTAAATGCCTTCCTCTTCCGACCAATTCACTTCTGCTCACAAGTAATTGACTTCGATTTATTTATTTGGAATTTCTGAATTTCTGTCCATAAAATTTGCACGATAAGACTGAATGGTCGAATAAATGCAAATTAAATGCAAGTATCATAAAAATTTAAAGACTAAATCAACCAATTTGGAAATAAACGAGACAAATATGTTCAATTTCTTAAGAAACGCTTTGCTTTGAACTATTTACTACGTTTAGAAAGACTACTGTTTAATATGGAGAATTATACTGTCTCGAAAAATAACACTTTTGTCTAATTGAAAAAATAAATATTACAAGATAACAACAGTAAAAGTAAAAATAAGATTTTTCCTCGATGAATCTATCTTTTCTTGTAGATAAAAATTTTTTCAAATCTAAAAAAGATTTTAGGTTGACAAATAAAGTCACGAGATATATTAAAGTCAATGAAAATTGAAAATTAAATCAATTCTTTTGCAAAATTTGAATGTGAAACATCTATAGAGAGGCTATGAACATTTTTAGTTAGTAAAAGTTGATAAAAAAATTTTTTGCAGTTTGTGTAAAAAGAGCCAATTGATCAATACATAGTAAAGCAAATAATGGTTGTTTTTTTTAAACGAAATTCTGTTCCAAAATTGTGGATAATAATAAATGAATGGATCCATAAAAATTTCTTGCAAAAGCATTAGCTCAAAAAATGCTCGAAAATATGCCAAAATTGGCATTCGCCAACTTCAGTGTCTTTCACAAAGATAATTGCAAATCGTTCTTGCTTTATTTTGGCATAATTGATAATAAAAAAAATACTGAAGTCTTCAAAAATAAGTTTATGCATATGTTTGAAACTGAAAGATTTATAATTAGAATTTTTGGAAGTCCACATTGTCATTCAAAATAATTTCCATTACATTTCTTTCTTTTATTTAAAAAATAATAACAATGCAATGCCGAGAAGTCGCCAGTCTTAATTATTATCAAAAAATTATTCTCATTTAATTTTTTCAAAAATAAAACTGTATTGAAATGCCTTTATAAATTATCCTTAGGTTTTCATGAAATATATAAATTTGAGTGTTTTTCCTATTTAATTATACAGAGCAGAGAAAGTTGTTGCAGATGACAATGTTCATGCACACATCAAATTTGTGTAACACTTTGAATTTTATAATGTACATTTCAGTATTTTGTTGGATTTAAATGCTGGTTAGTTTATGGAATAAAGTAGTTTTTAGTGGAAGGAAAATAGTTTTTGTTCAAATTACCTAGTTTATTTCATGTCATATTGCAAAATTAAGCAACATAAAACATAATTGAAAGATTTTTCGTCATGTTACATTTGTTTGCATGAATGTCATTGAAAGTAGTTGTTATTTTATAAAAAGCAGACAAATTTATTAAATAGCAAACAGTGTATTAATTGAAAGACGATTGATTAGCTTGGAATGAAATGAATTTCAAAATAAAGTTGAATTACAGCCAAGAGATAGCGATCACACAATCGAAAATTGGATCGAGAATCAGTAGTAGAAGGATCATATATTTCATCGCCAATGTTTTTTCTCAGCTTATCATCATAACACATTGCTCTGTCGCGTAAATGAGATGATGCCACATTCAGGTCAGTCAGGGCTATTTAATACTACTAAATAAAGTTCTAGTGAATTGAAGTAAAATTAATTCAAGATGTTGGATGGTCTGGAACGTAATTTTTATGCTACATCATATTATATATTGAAAAGAGAGATCTGTTGTTCATGAAAATTATTTAACATCGCTTTTTGCAATGCAAATAACTTGCATTGTTGGACTTCAAAATAGGTTGAATAAATGAAATTGACACAAAAAGCCCAGCAGCCATTTCTAATGATTAGTGAACAACTTAACTATGTGACTAACCTAATTAGCTTAACCAATGCGTTGGAATGGCTCAGACAAAATGAAATAGTCGACTTCGAAAATCAGAAAGTGGTCTTATCAAATCAATGGTAAAATGAATGGAAAAGAGGCTGTCTGTCAATACTTCTTCCTTCCATTCAGAGTGAAACTTGTGCAGATTTTGATGAATGTCCCCGAAGTGATTACTGTAGTAGATGTGAAGAGATGGGAGTGCGGGGTTGGGCATGGCAAGAGAACAGGTTCAGTACTGGCAGCTGTGCTTGGCTGCCTGCCAGTTGTTGAGTTCACACATTTCTTTTTATGTATTTTTCTGCCTGTTACCATTTGCCATTCCCTTTCTTTCTCTTTTTCTCATCTTTTCAGCCATTTAATCCCGATCTTTGATAATTTCCTTACCTTTCCCACAGTGTTCTGCCCCAACTACAATACACATTTTCATTTTTTCTCTCTCAAACTCTCTTGCTTGTATATAACAAATTATCTCTCCTGAGTGTATATCGAAAAAGCATCAATTAATGCTGTTCTTTTTTCTTCTTAACAATGATTAAAACCAGAAGTTAGAATGACTTTCTACAATGCGTGCTTCAAATTTTTATTCTTTCTTTTGAAGCGTGCAAATAATGCATATCTGCAAACTCCTTGAGCTAAACAAATTACACACACGTTTATGCAGCACACAAGCGCACTCACATGACAAAAGCATGCACGTAATTCATTCCTCTCCGATATGTATGAGATGATACTATATATGTGTTATTT